TGACCCCATTTGGGGTTTTCTTGACAAAGATGCTGGAATGGTTTGCCATTTCCTTCTCCAGCTCACTTTATAGATGAGGAAACTGAGGCAAAGAGGTTAAGTGACTTGCCCAGGGTCACACAGCTAGTAAGTATTTGAGACCAGATATGAACTCAGGTCTTCTTGACTCCAGGCCTAGAGCTCTAACCACTGTGCCATGTAGCTTTCCCAAGGAAACAAAAGTACAAGGACATAAAAACTAGATCCTACGCAACAGTCTCTAGTAATAAAGTGGCTAGCCTGGCTGGGCAAACAACCATGGATAGAGAAGGAAAGACTATGGGCTAGATGGGCCCACTGATCTCAAACCCTCTACCCACACTCCCAAGAACCAGGCTTTAGAGGCGACAGCTCTAAGCTGACAATGACAAGGATGCCAGAGGAGACACCCAGCCCTGCTTTATGTGATTAATGTCCCTATCCATCCACAGAAGCTTAGTTAGCCCAACTTCCTCAACCCCAACAGAAACCTCTCAAACCTGTGGTTCCTATTTTCACCTGGTGCCTCAAAAGCTCTGCGGGTGGAGGGGAGGAAAGAAGAGAGACTATTTCTGGACTCCAGAGAAGAACAGATGGGCAGACTCCAATTGATTTCATGCCATTGTTCTTTGGTAGCTAGTCAGCTCTGTGGTTCATCAATAGCGAGTGAAGAGAGATCAATGCTCACTTTCCAGAACGAAAAGGAGCAGGGGCAGGACACTGGGCAAGAAAGGCTTTAGTGATTGCAATGTTCTTTCTTACTTTTGCGGGGAGAGAAAGAAAGCCTGTGTAGGGTCCCTCTGCCCCGGGGAGCTGATAGGGCCCCCATATGAAATGTGAAATAAATCACATTTTCCAATTTGACCTCAGAATCCCAAAGTGGGTCCTGTAGGTTGAGGCACCCATCATGCTCATTCTTCAGACAACAGCTCAGCAACGTAAGGCAGAAGAGTCTCCAGCTGTGGCTCAGTGGTATGGCTCTAAACTGGGAGCCCCGAGGCCAAAACAAAACCGTCGCCTTCTCCCATCCAACATGCTCTTCTTACCTCATTGACATCAATCTGATTCTTCTCCATGTAAGCCTTATCGTTGACCTGCCCACCTTCTACAAATTCCATCAGGAGCACTCGTCGAGTTGACAGCTCCCAGTAAATGCGAGGGACCTAAAAGGGGACAGAGAATGGTCAGGGCAGTCTTTGGGAACAAAGGATGGGAATCCTAAGAGGAGATTCCAATGGGGCATAGCAAGCAAAAAATGGAAGGCCTATCTCTACGGATAGAACAAAGGAGACCATATTGAGCCAGCAAAGGAGGAAAATACAACAACTGAAGTTGTGTACGTGGAACAGCAAAATAGGAACAAGATACAAAGAAACTAGGTCATGGTGAAAGGGTATTTTTTTAACTGTCTTCCCCTACAGCTTCACTCCACATTCCTATTAAGATGGCTCCTTTTCAGTACTAGAAAAGGAAGATCCACCATTACCCACTGGTAACTATTACTGTGGAACATAACCTAGGATTGGAAACTTGAAATTCCCATCTTTTAGATTTATCACACTAAGGGAATAGGGCAGTTAGCTGGTGCAGTGGATAGAGCACCATGCCTGGAGTCAGGAAGACCTGAGTTCAAATCCCACCTCAAACACTTACTAGCTGTATGACCTTGGACAAGTCACTTAACCCTGTTTGCCTCAGTTTCCTCATCTGTAAAATGAACTAGAGAAGGAAATAGCAAACACTCCAGTATCTTTGCCGAGAAAATCTCAAATGGAGTCACAAAGAGTTGGACGTGACTGAACAACAATAACAACAGCACCGAGTGACCTCAGACACATTGCTTAATATTTCTGCCTCAGTTTGTCCATCTATACAATGAAACTATTAAGAAAAAAGACTTTCCCATGGGGTCTGAATGTAAATGTTGTTTAAGGGATGAAAGACTCTGCAAGGGAGCCAGATATTGATTTTAACACTCCCAAGGAATAACTTCCCTAGATAAGCTTCTCAGCACTTAAGACTCTACCAAGGGTTCCCAGCTTCCCAGTCTTCCACTCCCCACCCCCCACCTGGCCAAAGATTCCACGGACAGTAAAATACCAAGAATGGAACTGATATTTCACAGCTAGTCCAGCCACAGATTTCCCCTGAACTTGGCAAGGGCTGAATTTCATCAAGGTCCATAGTTATCACTGCAAATCCTTATGTAAATATACCTAGGTAAACACAGGATTGTAGCTTTTAAGCTGGAGGGGAACTAAGAGACCGTCTACATTCTAAATTTTACCAATGAGGAATCGGAGATTCAGAGAGGTTAAAGGTCAACCAGCTAAAAACTGTCAGAAGTAGGTTTAAAACTTAAAACTTTAAATCCAGTATTCCATCCAGTAAGCCACACTGAAGGCTTCCAAGCTCCATCAGACCTGTGACCTTATGGATGTGTGTCCCCTCCACGTGTACAGACTGCAACACAACCATTCCTTCTTATCACATATGATTCTTATCCATGTTGTTCCAAAGATACCCCATTGAGGATCCATTCAATATGCCAAAGACCTTCTTTTGGGCCTCTTTACATTTCAAGAGTACCATTGGAATACTCAGGCTATCTATGTGTAATATTTTGTTTGAGCCAATGACCAGTTCACTTTCCCTTCAGATTGTACCTTTTTTTTTGTTTTTTTTTATTAATTTATTTTGATTTATCAATGATCACTTCCATATGCTTTTAAGTTTAAAATTTTTCTCCCCCTTCCTCTCTACCATTCTCCCCAAGACGGTGCACAATCTGATATAGGCTATACATTTACATTCATATTAAACATATTTTTACATTAGTGATGTTGTAAGTAGAAATAGAAATTAAAACCAATAGGAGAACCATCAGAAAGAGGAAATAAAATTCAACAGAAGAGAAAAAAAATTAACAATTCGGCTTCCATAGTTCTTTCTTTGGGT